TATATAATAATTCACCATCTACTCAGTATTATGACTACGAATTTTACCTATAAAGTTGGGCACCATCAATTTATATTTTCAGTTAACTTCATTTTTATCTGGCCGTCCATGCCCATCCAAGCAATATTTGTTATCTGAGTTTGTTTAATATCCTGTTATGTTTTTCTTTCAGAAGTTAAGTGGACTTAAGGCAAATGTTTATAATGTGAAACTATCTGTGATTATTTAACATGTTTCATTTTGTAACTTCTACACAAGCAATTAAGTCTGCACGAGAGATACTTCATATTGTTTTAGAGAGATCTCGACTTGTATTTGGTTACGCTTGTGATTTTAAAGATATCTTTTATCATTATAAAACATTTTTGTTTTAAGACAGCGTACAGGTATTATAAACCGTACTATTTCCCCTCCGGTTCTTAACCTGCGTTTTATTACTTTGATGCTTTTTGCTATCTTCGTTTTAATATTCTTTCTCTTCCAAAGCATTAAAATATATTGCACCTATAAAAGTGTATAATGGACGATTTTTATTGCCATGCATGATGTATTTGTACGCATTTTGAATTGAAATTGTACATTTAAAACTTCAAAGCGATTAAGATATGGGGGTCGGTATAAAACCAGGAATAATCGTTGTTGTTAAAAAGATATTCCACTCAGAATATGATAGTATTTTTATGAATTTTTTGGCGGTAATTGTTTGAAGGATTAATGTCTATGGAATAAGCGTTCTTTGAGATATGTTTTATATACAAAAAGAATTTTAAATGTTATCTTACAGAAAAAAACACTCTAGACGCACGACATGAAAACGCCTTAATTGTCATGTTCATTCTTAACATGAATGAAAACTATAATATATAATGAGAAATTTTGTAATAACTAGGGAGTTCAGTATGGCGTGCTGTAAAAGTCGGATATTTTACTGTCTGTAATATAATAAAATTAATGGATAGTGACTGACTGACAAGATCTAAGCTTGCTATTTTGGCAGTCTTTTTAGGTTTTGGCCTTGCTCTTGCTACATCTGACACCATACTAAAGTTAGGGGTATACTTAGTACATTAGTAACGCTTGGTTAAGACACAGATTTTAGGCATTTTGACAATTTCGTGTAGCAACACTTTGAAATATTTGCGGAGCGAACGAATTTTTTACTCCCATTGTGGTTGATCAGTAGCTTGTATGTTTTAATTAATGGTTTTGGTCATGTTAATCACGCTATGCTGATACAATGAGTTGACTTTATGGTATGATGTTCTGTTATTTTTTACATTTGTTTTTGGAAATAGCATTGCTTGAAAATTAAGCTTTGGTAAAAAAAAAGGTTTGAATTTGGAACACCATTTTAGATTATTTTTTTCAAGGTGTAAATTTTTCTTATCACTTTCATTTCGTTAGTTTCATTAGTTGTACATTAATTTAAATGTTTAACACGTTCTTTATTAAATGATTGTTCCTGTTGTTGTTTAAAAGTCATTGTTCGAAAATATTTTCACTTTTTATACGGTTGTAGATGTCTATACATCACTTCAATTAGTTTCGCTTAATTTAGTTGGCATACACTATGATAGTTTGGCCAAACTTTATGATTGGAAATTGTTCAAGACTGTCTTACTACTCATTGTTTTTGCCTCATAGATCGTACCGAGAGGACTGTCAATGTAACTGAGTATATATATAGAGGGTTTAGAGAGTTTATTGTTGAGGTTTATCAGAAAAATCTGTCGGAATTGTTAACATATATGATAGGAGACTTTATATACTGGCTGAATTGTGACCAGTGCAGTCTTGCTTGTTGACTTTTGTTTTTCTAGTTCTTATGTAAAATTGTAAGAAAATCTTCTATAAATTGTTCTAGGTAAACATGATATCTAAGCTGTCTGAACATAGTATAGTGTATTCGTAGAAAATAATTTCAAGGGGTTCAATCATCTAAGGAAGAGACCAATGAAACTGCGTCGTCTACCTACACCGGCTAGAGGCAAGAGTATTGCCTTAGATTTCGACCTGTATTAGATGTTATTTTTTGCCCAAATTCAAAAAACTCCATGATTAATGAAGTTTATTCTAATTTGTATTTGTAAGGTAGTATTGTGTAGAAAGCTAAGCGATTATCTTTATGTTAAGTTGAGTTTGTTTCCTGGTTACGCGAATATTTTGATCTCGTTGTGTCTGTAGTGCAACATTTAATTGAATTCTGACATCAAAAACGCACGTGATAAAGATCGCTTGCTTTTCAGCGACATGCTAAATCAGATCTGAGTTTGGTCTTATCGTCAATTGAAGAAAGTGACTAAATGTTTTTAGTCTCAAACTTGCACTATGCTCGTTTAAAATTGATTAACTGCTATATTTCTTTCCCCATTACGACATATCGACAATTTTCACATGTTTTGCCTTTCTTTTACCTTTCTTATGTAATTTACATGGTTTGTAAGCGTCTTAGATTAGCATAAAGCAGTTGCAAAAGCATCTCTAATAAGAGGATTTTGGTTTTATTTTCACGAAAATTATTTTCAATCTTCAAGTGCAGTGCTTTTAAAGTAGAATTTAACTTTGCTTGACTTAAATTGTTCTTGCGTTGATTTAATAAGAAACAAGGTTTATATGTAAAACTTGTCGACTTATATTGTGAAATAAAATGAACTCTTCACTATTAAAATCATAAATTGACGTGTCCCTCTTTATGTCTTTGCAAAACCATATATCCTTAGTATAAGGGAACATTTCAAACTATATACTGACTGAATTGCGACCAGTGCAGTCTGCAGACATTAGCAGACGACAAGAATGTGCTGGCTGCTCTTGATCGGCAACTGGTCGCATTTGTAGAGGATATGTTGCCGCCAACAAAGGTGAAAAGTAAAAGGTACCATTTAACAAAATAGAGAAAAACAGAATCCCTAAAGAAAGCAAGGCCAACACGTCAAAATTGAATATGTTGCAAGGCAATGTGATTGAATGATTACATTAGCGGTTCAGGTAAACTGTAATATTTTTGGCAATTTAAAGGTAGGCGATGGTTTCAAACCCATAGAGGAATGTCTTAAACCTCACAGGGCATCCCCGAACATATGCGAAACATTTGAAACTAATTGAGAACAGAAACGCGAGGATTGTTCTACGTAAATTGCTGATTGCAAAAACATGCTAGAAATAGGCGCTGTTGGAATTTTATATCCATCAAAGTTATGGGTGGATTCGGAAGCTCGTAAAACTCGTAAATTTTGCTAGATATTCGATTAGTTTCGCAAATCATTGGAAGAGAAAACGATTCCAGCGGAGTAGATTTTTTCTACCTGGTACTGAAAGATTTACAAATTGACTTTTCTGTGAAACACGGGTCTATTTGTAGAGCAAGATTTTCCGAATTGAAATTTGGCAAACAATAACTTGAGAAATACAGACAAGGAAAGGTTCTTAGTTATCTTATATTATTAATTCTTTGTAGAGGTATCGAACTGTTGATAAAAAAAAACAAAAGTAAACGAACAGCTTCGTGCTGTTATGTCTGTCTATGCAACTTAATCATAACTTCAAAACTAGTAGAGTGATTTTATGCATCGATAGTACATATAATTCAGTCACTTTGCTTAATGCAGAATTGAAGATGAATGCGAGTTAAAAATAGCTTGCAATTGTGAAACAAATGATGATTTATCTTATAATTTAAAACTTTAATACTTAACGCTTTTTTTTTAATTCCAAGACCATGCTCTTATATTGTTACATATTGTACCTTATTTTCAGTATCTTGTATTCTTAAAGTTCGATGACATGCGTTTTCTTTTCTATTTACATTCAAAGGTATGTTAATTTCATGACTCCGTTTTTTGCATGTATCTCAATTTGATTTTGAGACTACGATGTTGTTTAAGTATTCTTTCATGTGAAATGTTTAATGATGATTTCTAGAGGATATGGAGCATGCTCTTTCTGATATTAAGAGAGGCATTTACTGGTGTTTACCTTATCTTATATCTTATCTTCAAGATCGCAAAGTGCCTTTATTAGGCTCATTCAGGCTGGCTGGAGATTGGCACAGTTTTTATCTGATTAATCAATGACTTCAGCATGTTTTATTTTTATGAAGCAGATTATACCGATTGGCTTCCGGCTGATGATTTTGTAAAGCGAAATGAAAGAAACGAAGAAAACTCTCAAAATACTGAAAATTGATTGTGAGTGTTCTTGCAATTAAAGAATCAAATTTTTGTAGATATGAAATTTTATTTAATATCTTAGAGGAATTTTCATCAGTTCGTATTTTGACGCAACAACTGAGGAAAATAATATGTGTAATTTGATTTTATAGATAAGTGTTTACAACTTGTTTTATTTAGATATTAAGAGTTTGGAATACTTACTGACTGTAATATTTATTTTGAAAAATTTGATAGCATTTACTTTAATAAGAATTGGAAATAAAATTGGGTGACTATAAACAAATACTTAAAACTTCGGCGAAGGAGTATTCACATTTTTAACATGATATTAATATCTAACCTGATTTTCCGCTCCTGTTTTAACGCCTTGTGTATTTATATTTTATAATAAATTATATAAACAGGTAAAAGGAGCAACAAACATGCAGGCAATGTTTTTCTTCATATGATCAAATAAATGGGATAAATTTTTACCAAACATTGATCCTGTATAAACATTTACTTTTCAATTTATATTAGGTATTATGAGTCCATTTTCTTATCTAAATATTCTTCAATTTTCGTATTAATGTTTCACGTGCAACGACCTGGATACTGGATAAGTAATTTAGATATTTTTTCTATATTATTCCCAGCTTATTTATCACTTCTTAAGCGACATGATAATTTTTACAAGGCAATAATATTTGTTTATTTTATCAAGTTAATTATTTATAACAGTATTTAATCACGTACATAATAATACTTTGACATGAAAATTTGCAAAAAACAGTTATATTAATATATTCACCAACACCACACATGCATGCTCATTTTCTCTTAACTTACCTATATTTAATCCAAAATGCGCAATAATTATACATCCACAGAATAACATACGTAACACATCCATTTTTACCGAAATTATTGTTTATTTGAAAGAAAATAGTCCGGTTTTAATTCACCATTTGTACACACTATAAGTTTAACAGTGTCTCTAAAATCCCATTTTTCAAAATGTTTTAAAATGTTCGTACGTTCATAGTTTTCTGACTCTGAATACACCTCGACTGTCTATCTACCTTTCCGAATTTATACCACGTGACTAGCTATAAGAGATATAGGCTTACTTTTTTGCTGTAAATGTTTAAAAGTTTAACATACATTTTAATGAATGGCTCCCGTTGAATAGCTAAAAGTTTTTTAGTCGACTTGTGTTGTCATGCATTAAAGGTAAATTTCTCACATAAATGCGCATGCATAAGTAGGAAAGATTTTCGTGGACGATGTAAGTAAAAGTATAATCATTCTGTTTATATAAATTTATTCATTTCAAGTTTTATCTCATAGAAGAGATAGTAATGTTTGTTTTTTAGAATTAAGAAAGACCTTTTTTCTCTTTGCCATGTCGAATACTTGTACTTTCTTTGTTGGGAGGTCCTTTTAGCACTTTACCATGCTTTCATAATATCGAGAGACTCACTTGAGTCTCTGACATGTTTGAGACTGGTTTTATAATGGTGATAGGCCCTTATTTCCTTTGCCATGTTGGAGATAGATTTGCAAAACTATCAGGAATTAGTTTGGCTCTTAAACATCTCGAGCTCTTTACCTTTTCAGTCTTTATCGTCATAGAAATCGATTTTACGGTGGTTTGGGGTCATATCATTCTTTGGTCTCGTCGGTCTTACTTTATTACAATTCATTTTGAAACTTTACATTTCTGATGTGTCAGTGCTGATGGCGTTAATGCCAATGCTAAGGTCAATATTGTCAAGCGCTTAATTTTGATAAGGAGAATACATCATTGGAATTACCGTATAATCTTTCTTAAGGAATCTTTGTTTTTTGTTGTTGTTTTTTTTTTGTTGTTTTTTTTTTGCTGGGAGGTTTTGCTCTACGAAGGATAAACTCATTGTGAATACTACTTTTAGGAAAAGAGGTGATTATTGCTCTACAGATGGCCTCTCTGTAGTGTTTATACTGTTTCATTTACAACTTAGCACAGGACTTATCCTTTTCACACGCAAAAAATCATTGAAACTGAGAAAAAAAGAAAATAACGAAATGTTTCGTTACTTGTCAGCACATTACTCACCAACTCATTACAATATGACACAGAGTAGGATGTTTGAATGGAACTAAAAAGTAAACATACACCAACCTGTAAAACCTGCAAGGACAATAGTTTTGTCAATGTATGCTGAAATGATACGCCGACGCATAAAGTATTGATCTATATTGATTGTTGCATTAAACCATATAAAGAGAAGGACCGTAGCTGCTTCAAACTCATAATTCATTGACTAATACCGGGATTGGCACAAATTATATCCACCTAACATTGTAGCTGGAAAATTGACATGTGACCTAAAATGTGTCAGTGCGACACAGAACATAAACAAATATAAGCCATTGATAAACTGATCTTTTTCAGATTTCGGATTTTGATACAGGTTATAGCAAGGGTCTGATTTGTAATGTTAGAATAATATCAGGACTATAACTTGTAAATAATCCGCGATTACCTGTTTGTTGCTAACATTATAAAGTCATTCCCCTTTCCTCCATCCATTGACAGTACCCGATCTGTTTATTTTTTGAATGAAATTTTGAAATGCACTAATACCTTATTTTTTTCAATAACCTAAATTCAATATCAAAAATACCAACACGTAAAAGGGTTGCAATTATGCATATTTAATATAATTTTCTTGCATACGTCTAGGATTATGCATGCATGCAGTCATTCATTCATTTATTCGTTCGCTCAGCTTAAACAAGTGACCTATGAAGAATGTCAAGCGTTCGTGCAGACTTGATTTGACACAGTAGACAAGAGCTGATAGATTTGCAAAAAAAATAATCGTGAATATGCACTTGTACTAGCGTTTAAAACTACATATGAGCCGCGACACGACAAAACCAACGTAATGCGTTTGCGACCAGCATGGATCCAGACCAGCCTGCGCATCCGCGCAGTCTGATCAGGATCCATGCTGTTCGCTATCAGTTTCTCTACTTATAATAGGGTTTGTAAGCGAACAGCATGGATCCTGATCAGACTGCGCGGATGCGCAGGCTGGTCTGGATCTATGCTGGTCGCAAACGCATTACATTGGTTTTGTCGTGACGCGGCTCATATGAAGCTTGTGATTCTTCACACAGAAACAAACCGTAGATGTCAAAATGAACTTTTTATCTTCCTGTAGCAACCAACAGTGAAAAGAAGTAAATGTAAATATGTTTCACTTTTATAGCTTGTAAAGAATGTTTTCAACTCTATTCCTCGTCATTGGGCTTTTGGTATTCGACCGAAAAATCTTCCTCGGATATCTTTCACTTTGCTTATGTCTACACGCGATTACACATCGGTCTCAGGTGGATATAGTGAAGTCTTCAAGCAATGTATTTTGAATTTCTTGGTCAACGAATTTATTTATTCGTATCCTGGATCTGTCGATCTCGAAGCACGGGCCCATCAATTTGAACGATGCTCCTAATTATAGATGAAAGGGGTTGTTTTTAGTAACTGCTATAGTATAGTTAGTGTTTATTTCCATAATGAAACGTAACATTTTGCTATGTTCTTGTTGGATGTGAGGTTCATATACATATACATTTTATGTGAAAATTAAACCACCATCGATGGCAGTTTTCCAGCTTTGTTAATGAGGAATACTCTCAATGCCCAATCGGTTAAAGGGTGCATTATTTACTCTTTATGGGGCGTCTTGTAGAAATTATCAACCTTTCACTAATTAGTTGGATACCCTCTTATCATAAGATTTAAAGGATCGATGGAGTAAGGTCAAACTAACCCACCTTAAATATACTGCCTAAAAAATAGGTTTCGTTTTTAGCTCGACTATACGAAGTATATGGAGAGCTGTCCTACTCGCTCCGGCGTCCAGATTTAAGATTAAAGTTTTGGTGCAGTGCATTATTTTTCCCTATAGCTTTTTCATTTCCCAATTTATCAACTTTAAACTTTGAATATATGTTCCTTAACATCAACCACATTTTATGTGACAAAGGTTATAACTCTAGCACAAATATTTTCTGATTTATCTCCCCCTGAACTTATAATTTTCCTTCAAAATATTATTTATACTACATGTATAACCTTTTCATTTCTTATTTCTTATGTGACAAGGTTCATAACTCTAGCACCAATATTTCAAAAATTATCTATTTAAAAATCTTATACTCTACTACAACTTCTTAAGTTTTAATTATAAGGTGTCTACCTGAAACTTCAAAAACATATTCCTTATCATCAACCAGATCTTATGTGACAAGGTTCATAACTCTTGAAGCAATATTTTATTTTCAGATTTATCTCCCTTTGAACTTAGAATTTTTTTCAGAAATATCATAACTTCTTTACTTTTTAAGGTATCTACTTCAAACTTCTATCTACTTCAAACTTCAAATATATATTTCTTATCATTATACACAAGTCATGTTGTGTGACAAAGTCCATACCTCTAGTGTGACATTTACAGAACTATTTCCCCTTAAACTTGGAATTTATGTTAACAACTATAAGTTAAATATATTTATATCATAATTGATTTTACTTTCATACTTTTGTCTTCCTTACTGCGTCCAGTATATAATAAGTCGAGCTTCGCTGTCTCCTGTGACAGCTCTTGTTATTCATGGTTTTGTGATCATACCTTAATGTTACTTTACAGCTAGGATCTTGATCTTTTGTTTGCATGATACTGTTCAATTATAAGATATTTTAGAATTTAAATTTTGAAAACGGATACTTTAACTATGAAACCTTTATCAAGATTCAGAAATTGGATATGAATTAGAGTTTGTATGAAAAATATGCATTATACGAGATGAGATTGGAATGAACAAGTTCCAAAGAAAAAAAGGAGAAAAAAAGAAAATCAAATTGTCTTCAAATCTTTTAACAATTACCATGCTTTTAATTATTTTCTAAAGAGTGTTTACTTGAATAGAAGTCTCAAGTAATGCTGCTAATTTGTGTACTTTATTAAGATAAGTATTTGTATTAAATAGTCGATGCATTTAAAGGTAATTTACTCAATGGGTCCTGTTATCGAATTTCCACTTGTGAATGATATTCCTATGCGTTTTCAATAGACCTTCTCATTAGAAATTCCAACTGCATATAGTTTTCATTTATTCGGGACTTTATATCAAGTTTCTTATGTAAACGCTTTTGATAAAAGAGATTTTTTAGGTCACACATGAATCTGTATGCCATTTAATTTGTATAGCTTCGATAGGTTTGGTTTGTATGCATTGTGGTTGTATACAAACATTAAAAAACAAACTGGCTAAATCTTTTCATCACCTACGTGATTCTTTGGTGCGTTTGCTGTCTGTTGTAAACCCCCATTCTTTGTTGATTTAAATGGAAGAAGAGTTTACGTTGTTATAAAAGGGAATGGTATAAATGAATGAACACTGATCTGAATATGCAGCTAGTATAACAGCTGAGTCCGAAATATTTGAATTCTAAAGGCATGTCAAATGAGATAACCGAACAAATTGCTTTTCGAAACGCACGTTTTGTGAATAACCAAAAACCTTTAATAACTAGAAAACCAAAATGTTGTAATCTTAAAAACATAAATGATACAGCATTATTCTGGTTAGAATTCGGAATTTACAAATTTAAATCCTATTAACTTGGAAAGTCTGCGTTGATGCAAACCAATAAATGCGTCCGGATGCTGACTACTGTAAACTTTTGCATCTGTTGCTTTCATTTACCACTGTAGCTTAAGCATGGTTAGATATTTAATGATGAATAATGCGACATAAATCATAAAATAAAAGCCATGCGTAAACTATTTTAAAATTCACTCAGATATTCATATACAAATATCAATATTCAGCACCTAGCTAAGAAAGCTGAGAAGATTTAATTAAGAATAATATCATACTTGGTTTGACTTTTTAACATATGTATTATCCAAGATTGTCAACTTGTAACTTGTACCTATTTATAAGGACATTCACCCATACATTTTTCATTAATGTCAGCTTACCATGATAAATGAATTTTATGAATGAATTTTAAATGTACTTGAATAAGATGTATTTTGAAATAATTCATTTTTAAATCAGCAAAGATCAATATGTCGAGGGAATGCTTGCATTGCGATTCGTTATCTTTGTGAAAAGATCGACATTCATTCATTGGTTTGATTCAAACTGCATATATTAAAGCATTTCGGTAAATATATGCTTTTTCATGGAGAACTGGTTTTCAACAACAACAACAACAACAACAAAAAAACACCGTTCTTTTATAACAGAATGTTTTTATCGTTTGCGGCAGATTTTAATAAATACATGCATCGTTACTGTTGTAAATGTTGTACTGGAGCTTTCCGGATTTACTGGTAGGGCAAAGCCGTTGTATCCACCGCGTAAAAGTGCATAAGCGTTCGACTAAACGTTTCCTAATAAACACTATCCAATTCAGTGTTTGATTTTTTTAAACCGTAAATTGTATTATAAATCATTTGAAATGCTCCAATCCCATTTGACACAAAAATAATTACAAACACTTAAGTACTATACTGAATGGACACTGCTATAAAATTTCCACTGTGAACGAGATTTTATGCATTTTCAATAGCCTCTATTTCAGAAAGAATCAAATTGCATATTTTTTCATCCATTTAAGTAATTTTGATAAATGCTGCAAGAGTTACCTTGATCGCAAATGGGATCTCAAACTACTTACTTATTAGTCCCCTACCGGTTAACCGGAGGGGACTTTAGGTTTACCCTCCGTCCGTCTGTCCGTCCGTCTGTATGTCAGTCCGTCCGTCCACAAAACTGGATCCCGCAATAACTTGAAAAGTACTGAAAATATTTTTATGAAACTTGGTATATGGATAGATGGCAGTATGGAGATTATGCACGTCTTTTTCTTTTCTTCCTATGTTGAAATTTCTGGTTGCTATGGCAACAAATAGGCTAAAAATATGGCAAATTTTACACATAACCTGGATCCAGTGATAACGCAAAAAGTAACTGGAAATATTTTTATGAAACTTGACATATGGGTAGATTGCAGTCTTGGGATTATGCACGTCTTTTTCTTTTCTTCCTATGTTGAAAATTCTAGTTGCTATGGCAACAAATAGGCTGAAAATATGGCAAATTTTACACATAAACTGGATCCAGTAATAAAGCAAAAAGTACTTGAAATATTTTTATGAAACTTGACATATGGGTAGATGGCAGTCTTGGAATTATGCACGTCTTTTTCTTTTCTTCCTATGTTGAAAATTCTGGTTGCTATGACAACAAATAGGCTGAAAATATGGCAAATGTTACACATAAGCTGGATCCAGTGATATGGGTAGATGGCAGTCTTGGAATTATGCACGTCTTTTTCTTTTCTTCCTATGTTGAAAATTCTGGTTGCTATGACAACAAATAGGCTGAAAATATGGCAAATTTTATACGTAAACTGAATCCAGTGATAACTCAAAAAGTACTGGAAATATTTTTATGAAACTTGACATATGGGTAGAAAGCAGTGTTGAGATTATGCATGTCTTATCTGTTCTTCCTATTTTGAAAAAATATCAATTGCCTTGGCAACAAATAGGCTTAAAACATGGCAAATATAACAATATTTGTGATTAGTCAAAAAGAGGTGAAAATTTTTATGAAATTGCATCTTTAATTCAAGAGTTATCTCCTCTTTAAGAATTCTGCTTTTAAAATGTTATATTTTGGTGTTTCAAATATTAACTTTAGAGTGTCCTTCAGTCCGTCTGTCTGTCTGTTCATAAAATCTGTTTGTTGTGATCACTTTTAAAGAACTTTTCCAACAAGTTTACTTAAAATAGAGAAAAATTGAAACATAAGTGAATGGCCAATCGCCCTTCAGAATGTTGATGGGGTTCTTACCGGTAGGGGACTTATGGAATGCTTGCAATACTATGATAATTGCTTGTTAATTTTCGGTTTTTGAATGCGGTGGGTTTGTCTTATTTTATTCATATCGCTTGAATGTCGGCGAAATATGTTTTCATCAAAGGTACTTGATTTGTTTGTTGCCTATTTAATGGCAAAATGCATCACAGACTTCAATGAAAGAAATGGATTTATTTTGTTCAACAAGGGTCTTTGTTAGATGAAAAGAACATGTAACAAAGTGCTCCATTTAATGAAGTTTTATCAAATGATTTGAGCGTAATGTAACTAGATAATTGTGTATAATTGTGACATTGGAACGTGACATTGGAAGTTTGGTTAAAAATGTAAATTAACATTAGTTTTCGAATAAGCATTTATTTTTATTTATTTTTTTATTTATGTCGTTTTGTGTTTTATTTTCTTTTGTTATTTCTTGGGGTTGGGTAGCAGTTTGGGTACGGATGTATATAAGGGTTTGAAGGTGTACTAAAACAAAATTTTGATGGTGGTCATAGTAAAATGGGACTGTGGCGTTACGGTGAGGGTGTCATTGGTTTGAGCCCCACTTTGGTTAGGACCATGCTGCATCGTATGATACCAAGACTGGCAAGTTCCAGGAAAAGTGTTTGGGCGTGTTAACAAATACTTATTTCACAATTAAAAGTAGACACGTGTTTGTTTCTTTTTAGGATACAAAGTCGTAAATGTTATGATTGATACGTCGATTACAAGATAAAAGTGACGCGGGGAATAATTGTGGGTGTTCACGATATATGCCGTTCTTCATTGTTTTATTACCTATTTGCCAATCTGTTTGTAGAAGAATGAACAGAAAGGAATTCTTTATGTTCGCCTGTTTCTCTATCACTGTTATATTGTTTGATACAAATGCTGCTGTATATAAATAACTTTATGATATAGAAATCATTAGGTTTACTTAAACGTCTTTGTTTATGCATGAGGGGGATGTTGGCCTTGTGGTTAAGGCGTCTGTCTCTTAACCCAGGGACCATGGGTCCGAGCTCTATTCGGGTCACGACCATGTTTCCTCAAATGACACCAGGACTTGTTAGATCTAGCCGACTCGAAAGTATCAATTAATATAAGTTGCAAGAGCTTGTTTCGCAATCGAACTTAAATAGATATGTTTAAACTAAATGCCTTGAAGGAAACTTTAGTTTTGTAAATTTATTAGATCAATTCTGTCAAAATCGGCTTAGTGGTCAGAAACACAAACAAAAAAGAATTTATGAAATTAATGTTGAAAAAGTAAGTTTGAGTTTTGAGGGACAAAATGCGCTTGAGATACATGGGGTTTTATTACCGAGTGTCGGCCGGACATCCGTCTCTCAATAGGTCCAGTATACTGAACACGCTTGTTATGTTGCGCGAAACATGCTGCTGTTATGAATGATTTTTGGAGGAGAAGTTGTCAATAACTTGCGGAGCAATAACGTGTTAAGATACAAATGTAGAAAATGGGGGCATTAGTTTGGTATTTCAATCAGATTATATAAATAAAACTGTGAAACATATTTAAACATTGCAGAGAATATATCTTTCTTACACACAATATGACTCACTTTCATTTGTGAAGTCTTTAGTTAAAAAGGACAACGACCAATGCACTTTTCTGATTAAATTGCTAATGTGAATGTTCACAAATGATGAAAATGTGTGGATTAAAATGTTAAGATATTATATTCTAATTTATCAAAACTGATGATGATGAAAAAACACATGTACCAGTATAATGTTGTATAATAATGAAATATTATTTACATTCCAATCCTTCTCAATTAAATTTATATGATGACATAGGATCAATCTTGTATAAATATACGAAAAGAGGAATTCAACGCACGTGTTTGCCATACCAATTCTTTACCAAATTGTATACTTCCCTCCAAAAGTTCTGACAAACATTTGAAATTTAAATGGTTTAAAATTTAAATAATTAATCATAGCGGCGGACAATATACAACACAACATGCGTGTTCAGTATAGCTGTACCTATGTAGGCACGGACAACACGGACGGCGGCTCGGTAATAAAACCCAAGATATGTATCTCATATAAATTTAGTTTTTCAACATTTATGCTTAATTTAATTTATTTAGACTTATTTATGAGTTTCCGTGTCTTCTGTATCTTTTGAACCGGTGGGTGGACATTGAAAGTACAAATGTACTTGGCAGAAATGTTTACCATCACTTGATCTATAATAGTATTTCAAATTTTATGTTTGCAGGCTTTTTTACAGTAGTGAAGTTCCTTTAAAGAAACATTTGGAGGACAGTATACTTGATCCCCTGCCTTTATTGTATGAATGCTTATTCAAGATATTTATTATTTCAGATATTCTTTGATCATCGTGTTGCTGTACATTGTGAGATAATCATGGGTAAAAACAAAGGTCGAGACACGAAACAGAAAAGTCGGATTGAAAAAGCGTTTGTTGTAAATACCATGAAGAAAGGAAAAACGAAAACAGTTTCTACCAATCTCAAAAAGGTATATAGCAGGTTGTAATTTTTTTGTAGATTTTTGAGTGAAAGGAACAGAGAAATTGTTGTTAAAGAAGAGTCGTAAATAAAATGGTATAATCATAGTGTGACAACTAGAAGTTCTTTATTAAGAACATGTTGATAATATTTGTTTCACTCTTTGTTTCATCATTAAGGTGTTTGGGAAAAGTGTTTGGGAAAGGAAATATCTCCGCATTGAAGGAGCAAGATCGACACTTTTTTTCCTCTGATCACTCAACAAAACATTGATTTAAAAGATCTTTTCATATTCACATAAGATTATTTCATAGGAATGGTTTTAATTTCTCTTCAATATTTAGCGAATGCACGTTAATATTAGGGATGGTGGTTTTTAAAACGACTCCGGCGCTTAAAAAGTAAGAGCATTTTATTTGGGGTTTTGTAATGGCAGGGGTTTACGTCACACCGTAAAAGTCTATATATAACTGTTCAACTGGTAAACTTATATCTAAGTTGTCCCTCCTTGCTCGAGCGAGCACCTGAGCACAGCGGGTACCTGAGAAAAACTATGGGCTTTCTGTACCCTACCTGTATGTATAGCTTCATAAGATAGAAATAATTTAGTGTGTATAAAGTTAACTTAGGTAATTCCCAACAGGGATAGTTATAGCATTACTATATATTAAATTTAGGTGTTATTTAGAAAACATCAAAGTAGAATAGATAAAATGTTAATATAATCATAATTTGGATATTACGCAAAAAAAATCACAGAAACTAATAATATTATATCATACCTATATGAATCTTTTCCAGCTGAATTTACAATCAAAGGCAAAAACTGCGAAAGCCGATGAGAAGTTCAATTCATTAAAAGAAGTCGTAATCGATTCATCAAAAACAGCTGCAAAGAAACAGCCGAAACAGGTATGATAAAGGGAGGTAATTGTTTCTTAGGAACGAACAGTTGTAACATGAATGATAGAGTAGCGCACCTTGGGGTCTATAAAAATATTTGTCAATTTCTATATGATCTATATACGGAGAAGTTGAAACGCACAAAACAAACACGTTTATAGTATCGGCTGGATCACACTGAAGATTATCGCCCCGTGAGCTCAATTGGTATAGCGTTGGACTGTGTTTTGGTCGACTCGGGTTTGATCCTTGTGATTGTCTTTTCATTTGTATTGTGTACCACCTCTCTGGCGTGTACAGAAGTTACTAGAGTAAAGATATCTAGTATTGGCAGACCGCTGTACAGCTAACCCAGGAACGAGGCGGTGACTGAACTTTACTCTGGTGAATTAAATGTGGTTCACTCCAGTGATACGAACACCCACCCACACTGAAAATTGCTATTACAAGTAAATAATCATTTGAATATGCTTGCATTGCGAAATTCTCCAGTTACTATTCATTGTTCGCGACATTTCATTTTTGATAATCAGAAACCCTCATACCAATCGGAATGATCAGCTAATATGACCGACGAAAAAGCCCGAGAAGTTGCTGTCGCCCTTTCACAAAATCTGATTTCCTTCCATAAGGGGCGTCGCGCTTCGGCGCGGAGGCCAATTAGGTGTTTATTACGTATTTGTATCAAGCCATAGGGTATAGATTTATAATTAAAATATTTAGTATATCTTATTTATTATTATAAATGTTTGACATATATTAGATTAAATAGTTATTCTTCTTCATCGCGTATTTTAGATGATTCTTGTTAAATATAATAATGATACATTTAAGATAATTCTTGTTTATAATAATTGATATTTGGTTTATTTGAGATCATTATTGTTTATAGTAATTGACATTTGGTATATTTTGGGTTATTTTTGTATATATAAATTGATATTTGATATATTTTACATTATTCTTGTTAATCTTAATAAATATATGGTTTATTTCAGGTTAAAAAATCAGTGCCTTCATCACCAAAAGAACCCGTTGACATGGATACAACTACAGAAAGCTTCTCCAAGTTATGATAAAACATTTTTTTTTAAATATTAATATTGGACGTTATAAGAGGGGACTGTAGAAGGATATAGAAGATTAATGGATGTTAAAGAAGTACCTGAATTTCCATGAATGTTTAAAAACAATATATCAGTTTCGCTCATGTTTAACAAAGTTAATGTGTTTTCAAGAATTTATGTTTTCTCAAATATGTTCTTGCGGATATTTTCTCATGAATATGCTTTTATAAAGATTTTTTCATGAAGATAATTCATAAATAAGTTGTTTTATATATTTTGTCATGAATGTGTTCTCATGAAACTTTTTCATGATTTTGTTTTCAAGACTATGCTTTATGAACATTTTGCAAAAATTTGTCTCCACAAATATTATCAAGAAAAGAGTTACCCATGGCTGTTTTAGAGCTCGAAAATATGTTCCATTGCATGTTGCTGATAATATAAGAAGTTGTTTATTAAGGGACTTTATGTTAATGTATATGTTTTGTTCAATTGTTATAACAATTATCATGATATATTATTAAGATTTATGATTGCATTGGCCTTTAAAAGAAACCTAATTCTGGCTAAGGAGTTATTCTAAGAAAGTTGTTAGGAAGATTTATCGGAAATTTATCTCTTTTTTACCGAGGAACGGGGAAATATTATAGAATATTATAAGTCCGGTGTGACTTTTAAATTCACGTAAAATATTCTTTGAAATTTGATATACTCGATAAATTACATATCAAGATAACGATATTACATGTAATTTTATTAAAACAGATTACCAACTTGTTTTGTTTTATTTCATTCATATAAATGCCACTGTATAAAAAATGCATTGTTTTACTTCACATTGAGTGCACTCAAGTCACCCATGTATTTTTTTTTTCATTTGAAATGCTGGTGAAACCGATGGTGCATTTAATGAACTCAAATGTATGTGTTACTTAAACAGAGGGAGAGCACCACACTAAATACCGTACTCCGGTATATTCCGGATAAGTTGCTTGAATAATTATATGCTAAAATCTCGACTTTTCTCGGGGCAAAATGCACGTTAAGACGACTAATTCTTCTCTTTACACCGATTTATATACAACAATGAATGAAAAATTTAAGAATCGGTGGAAAAAGCGATTTTTTTTCTACTTTGTGATTATGATTTCTGCAAGCGTTTAGATGTACTGCTCCAACACTGTAGTAAGTTAAATTCCAACTTAAATCTTCGACACATGCAAGGCCATAAAGTTTGATGGATAAACACAGTTGTTAAGGCGACTGTCCGTTTAGCCCAATTTGTAGAACGTTGGACTCTGAATCCGTTGACCCGGGTTAGATTCCCTGACGGTGCAGGTCACTTTCCTTGTAATTGATTATGAAATTCTTTCTACTGTCATTCCCCCTGTACGTCTGCCGAGGTATTTGCAGAAGCGAAAGTTAAAGCACTGTTACTGGTAAACTGATTGGTAGCCTACCCAGGAATGATGCTTTGGGTTACCTGTGCTCTGGCGGAATTAAAAGTGGCTAACTACTGTGATCCGGAGGGTCGTGTACTGAAGGGTAAACTATTATACTCTCTACAACATATGAACAAATTGTAGATGAATAGCAATGCACAAATATGAAAACAAAATCTTTGTTAACACAATAAACCGGTATACAAATGTCTTACGCGAGTGTGAACTGATTGTCAATGCATCCGTGCAAGATCAACAAAAGTCTGAATTAACTTGAAAAATATCAAAGAAAGAGATGGTGACGAACAACATTCTTCAGTAAAAAAAACACGTTCCGTAAAAAGTGATAGGAAGTGACATTTCGAAGTTTCTAAAGTACGATCTTTAAGGTCAAGGCTAAATGCCTACACGCGTCGTACATTATGATGTGGTGCAAACCACGTCAGGGGACAAGCCGTTGTTTCCTTGAACAAGAAACTTCACATTAATTACTTAGTACGTGTTTGTGAGTGTTCTAAATAAGCTTATTGTTACGTCGCTTTTCATTGGATAATCGTGACGTTGATATAATTTTATATACACGGCTGCTTTCAATTTTCTACGAAATCTCACGTTTTTTTCTTTTAAAAAATAAGAAAATAAGAAGGAAATTTGCGATAATATAAAGTCGTTATAAATATTCCTGACAGTTTATGCGACCGTATATAAAATACCCGTCGCCTAGTGGCTCGGATTATATTTCCAAACAGCCGTTTATATAGGGCCATCAAAAATCCTTATAACTGCATGTAATAATATACACGACTGCAGTCGATTTATAAATTAATTTCACTTTTTTTCTTTTATAAAGAAAATTTGCAGTTTTCAGGTTATATAGATGTATATATTCGGTTATTTGCAATATATTTTCAAACAATCGTCTATATAGGGCCATATTACCTGTCAAACAAACTTTATAACTATTAATATATGTAATAATAGATTAGTAGTCGAGATAAAGATATACACAATGTGAATATAGGGAAGATATATATATATATATATATATATATATATATATATATATATATATATATATATATATATATATATATATATATATATATATATATATATATATATATATATATATATATATATATATATCGAGTATTAGATTATACAGTCTCGACTATCAAATTATACAGACTCGTATAGCAGGAAGCTTGAAATATATCCTCCCTCTTTTGCCCAATGAGTCACGTTAGACCTCATTTTCTATTCTTGTATACAATAAAATATATTGGACTAAAATACAAAAAGTATGCTATATTTTTATATCGATTTAAGCTAGATCTAAATGGATTTAGGGCACGTTTTTAAACGTGAATGATTTGAAAGTAAATAATCGAATGTAATACAGTCGGTTATATTGATTAAAAAAGAACAAAAACAACATGTTACAGAATATTGGATGTACATGGAATCAAATAAGGCCTATTATAGGTAATATATTTAGTTTATTCTACTGTTACAATGTATTATTATTAATCTGTACATAAAAGGTTGGTAATTTCTATGAACTAGTTTTTAAAATGTTTGCCAAGCGTTCAAATGCAAATGTACTAAGGTAAGATAATCGACTGTCAACTATCTCACAGCGTAGGTGGGGTGGGGTTGGGTGTATGGGTAGAAATATAGTATAAGTAAACAGTAATTAATTTTTGGCGGATTATTTTTGCGCGTGTCAAACACAGTTTCTCTTGACGTGTGAATATTGTAACATTTCTTAAAGCTACGGTATCAATTATAGGTATAGTTTGATATTTTGAAGATTTGTTAATAAAATCTATAGGCATGCCCGCTTTAAGTTTTAATTTCTTATGTTGTATTTGTCAATCAGTCTTGCTTGCCCATATTTAATAATCGGTTATTCTATCTGTTTACAAAATATTAAGTTTCACGGTATAACTGTTAATTTTAAATAAGAAGAATCGGCACAGACAAATAAAAAAAAATATAGAGTTGTTATATTTAATCTTTTCAATGACTCGAGTAAAATACAAAAATACGAGAATAATTTTTATTATGGAACGCCTCAGCTGCCTTCTAAACACACATCTTAAATGGCAATGGTCTTTGATACTTTCATATTATTTTTATTCTGTAAAAACTGTGGTTTATTTTCATTGTATTTGTAATTGTAGCATTTGTTCATCAAAGTAGAGAGTAAATTAATTTAGTCTAATCTTTTATTAGACATTAATGAATAACTTGTTAAACCCTTCCCTTCCTTGAATCGGAAGTGACGTCAGGATAAAACCACGAGAGCCTGCATTTTAGTGCAGTCTGAAAAGGTTTTTTAATGCTGTTTTGCTCATTTTTCTTATATTTGATATTGAAATCACTGAATGTTTTAATGGACTGTTTCAAATTTAAGGTCAAAATCCATACCACAAATTTCAACGCTTATGGGTGATTTTGTCTGTCTTTTTTGTAGGGAAACTAAATCGAGTGAACCAGTTCTTGCTTGATGTACATAAAGAAGAAATATGTGTAAGCCGGGCTCGTTCTTACGCAGAAATGTGTGATATAGGAACAGCGGTAAATAAAATGGTTACTTCAATTGTTCGTAAAGCGTTCGGAAACGACCAGCTGTTCAACATTCCAAGAAAACAGCTTTCAAGACACGTCCAGGGAGTGGGCAGCTTCTTTGAACAGACTAAAATTGTAGACCTGGACGAGTTTGATTATACTATTTTATTACCATATTTTAACGAGAGTAATATTAGAGCTGTGAAGCATTTACATACACCTTACTTTGTGTGTAAGCACGGAGTCCCGAAACACACCTCCGCGTTTGTCGAACTTGAGTATATTGGAAGAGATAAAGAGATTCTAACTGAGAAAGAACTGCTCACTACAATTGAATCAAAGAAGTACATAATAGCTTGCGGCCTTCATTCTCTAGCAAGAGAAATGATTGATAAATGTTTATCAAATGAGGAACATAAAGTGTCACCGATTGTCCGAGATACTGGAACATTGAAGATAAACAAGACTGACTTTGGAAACAAGTTGCTTGCAAATGGACCAGCTTTAAAATTGTGTTTAAAATGGCTGCAAAAGCAAGGCAACAGAGATCTTAATATTACTGTGGATTTAGTTCCAGCTATTAGGTTGAATCCGACGCCAGATATTTTTGATAACATAACTGCTCCTGTGTTTATGAGAAATGAAATAGAACATTACGGGGGCTGTTGCCTTATCCCCAAAAACAAACCACAATTGTCTGTTGACTTTTTGATTTCATTCAGTCAAATCGAATCAGCGATAATAATAAAGCTTAAACAAGAAAACTCACCCTGGTTTTTCTGTTATATAATATTGAAATTCATCTTCTGGAACGACACAAAGTTGACACAATTTCCATCAGCTCATTTATTTTCTAGCTATGTCCTGAAATCCCTTCTTTTGCAAGAAGCGTTTTCATGTAAAGAAAGGGACATCACTCTTGTGGAATGTTTACTAAGGATGCTGGATACTCTTCAAAGGTACACTGATACGTCAGATGTTGGACTTATGGATCATATTCAAGTGAGGTCGGTTTGGTTTATGGACAGTGTAATCGGATGTAGAAGTGTAAACGAGCGTTTTGAAAAAGGGGAACTCGTAATCATTCATGATGTTCTTGAACAAATCAAAAACATGCTAATTAATATTGACAGAGATTGTGATTATGAATACGCACGTTATAAAATGGTATTTTTAGATATTGTCCAGTCTTTGAGCAAAGAATTATATCATTTGAATCAGGAGAGAAAGTCAAAATATTCACAAACGTAGAATTGAAATATGTCTTTGTTAATGATGACATTATAATGTTATAAAGTGAAATTTTTTGGTAAGTTACATAGTTATAATCTCTAAAAGTAAAAGTGTGGAAGGACATTTGTTGATTTTTCTTTTTATAATGTTTGATGACGTCATATTTCTGCCACTAGATAATTACATGATAAAAGCGTTGAAAATATGGTTAACGCATTATGGAATTTTTGATAACTTTACGTTTACCTGTTGAATTGCATACGGTAGCAAATATATGTACCATTTTGCATCATTCCCTGTTAAAAAATTATTTAAATAAAAATAGTCACGTATAACTTTGCTCTTTAACAATATATGTTACACGATAGTACACTCAATCACGCAGGAATATACAAATAACGCTGGAATTGTGCAAAAGTAACGCAGATTTGTGTAATTTTGTGGCCGAAACAAACATCACGGAGAGTGAATGAACCAATATTCCTTAAGTGTACATCGGATTGAAAGAAATGAATAGGCATTTGGCAAACTACGAGTACTTGTATCATATTATGCTTGAATTTGTAGATAAAATGTGATAGGATAAAAAAATCACAAACCAACACAATTCATCAAAACATGCTACGCTTTAATAAGCTTATCAGTGGACAAAACTTTTACGAGGTAACGAGCATCGCGCATATTTAGCGTTACTTTTACGTTATCATGGTCATCTTGCGGCAGAAATATACGGATGAGTAAATTGACCCCCTTATATATTTTATATGCCTTAAAGGAAAAAGGCCTTTGTATAATACATATCTTTAAAAAGAAGGTTACATGTATATGATATACCAGGAGTATTCAATATTAAGTGACGGGCCTCATTTTTCTCTACGTATATTTCGTGAATCACGTGCAAAGTTACATTATGATTCGCTTCAATTCTTTATCTTTCCAACGTTGTATCATACATGTATCCCAAAACACACACGATTTAAGAAATTTAGTGTTGAAAGTTGAATATTCGATCAACTGCGTATAAAAATGGCTGGAAAAGATTCAGTAAATAATGTTGACATTCGAGCGCGTATGTTAAGTGGTTCAGCTATTCTTAAAGAACTTTGTCGTATTTATGGACCATCTGTGGTTAGTGAAAGGACAGTTTAAAAGTGGTACGGAGTCTATAAACGATGATAGTGGTAGGGGAATAAAACACACAGTGGTCACCAAAAACAACAGTTAAAAAGTACAAGAACTCATAAACAAAGAAGCGCGATGTACAGTTTCTGAAATAGCTAAGTATATTGGCATTTCAACGGGAAGTACATTTACGATTCTAAAGAAGCACCTCAAAGTTAAGAAGATTGCAGCCAAATGGATACCACATTTATTGACTGAAAAGCAAAAGCGTGTAAAATGTGCCAAGAAATTATGAAGATGTTTCCCAAATATAACGGTCGTAAATTTTCTAACGTTGTAACTGGTGACGAAAGCTGGTTCCACTTTTTTTGAGCCCACACGGAAGGTAAATAATAAGATATAGGCCACCAAACATACTCGTAGGCCCTGTATAGCTAAAAGAATGACTAGCACAAAGAAGGTTATGTATGCCATGTTCTTTGGTAGACATGGTGTAGTGACACAAGTTCCTATTCCAAAAGGTCGTACCGTTACTGCAAAGTTTTACAAACGAATAGTGTTAAACAAAGTTGACAAATATCGCAAACGTCGTCTTAATCTGTTAATACTGGTCAACGATACTCCACACAAGGCAGACATTGTTAAGAAATTATTGGAGAGCAAACGTGTAACTGTGCTTAATCACCCACCATACTTGCCAGATTTGGCACCCTGTGATTTCTTCCTGTTTCCAAGATTAAAGAAACACATTCAGCGTCCCCGTTACAGGACCAGAAATGGACTTGGTTAAGCGTTACATCAGTTGTGTAGGGGTTTACAGCAAGAAGACTGTAAAAAGCATTTCAAAAATGGATCAAACTTTTAAACTCTGTATATTGTTCAAAGGAGATTACTTTGAAGATTTAGAAAATAAAAATGGTAGTTGCTTTAAAGGTTTTCATTTTACTATAGCCCCGACACTAATTATTGAATACTCGTATAAAAAAGATTTTTATGAGAAATGAAATAGAACATTACGGGGGCTGTTGCCTTATCCCCAAAAACAAACCACAATTGTCTGTTGACTTTTTGATTTCATTCAGTCAAATCGAATCATCGATAATAATAAAGCTTAAACAAGAAAACTCACCTTGGTTCTTCTGTTATATAATATTGAAATTCATCTTCTGGAACGACACAAAGTTGACACAATTTCCGTCAGCTCATTTATTTTCTAGCTATGTCCTAAAATCCCTTCTTTTGCAAGAAGCGTTTTCTTGTAAAGAAAGGGACATCACTCTTGTGGAATGTTTACTCAGGATGCTGGATACTCTTCAAAGGTACACTGACACGTCAGATGTTGATCTTATGGATCATATACAAGTGAGGTCGGTTTGGTTTATGGACAGTGTAATCGGATGTAGAAGCGTAAACGAGCGTTTTGAAAAAGGGGAACTCGTAATCATTCATGATGTTCTTGAACAAATCAAAAACATGCTAATTAATATTGACAGAGATTGTGATTATGAATACGCACGTTATAAAATGGTATTTTTAGATATTGTCCAATCTTTGAGCAAAGAATTATATAATTTGAATCAGGAGAGAAAGTCAAAATATTCACAAACGTAGAATTGAAATATGTCTCTGATAATTATGACATTATAATGTTATAAAGTGAAAATTTTTGGTAATTTACATAGTTATAATCTCTAAAAGTGTTGAAAGACATTTGTTGATTTTTCTTTTTATTATGTTTGATGCCGTCATATTTCTGCCATTAGATAATTACGTGATAAACGCGTTGAAAATATGGTTAACGCATTATGGAATTTGTTGATCACTTTACGTTTACCTGTTGAAATGCATATGGTAGCAAATATAAGTACCATTTTGCACCATTCCCTGTTAAAAAAAAATATTTAAATAAAAAATAGTAACGTATAACTTTGCTCTTTAACAACATATTTAACGCGATAACTATTTCACCTTGTAAACTAAATCACGCAGGAATATGCAAATAACGCAGGAATTGTGCAAAAGTAACGCAGATTTGTGTAATTTTGTGGCCGAAACAAACATCACGGAGAGTGAATGAACCAATATTCCTTAAGTGTACATCGGATTGAAAGAAATGAAAAGGCATTTGGCAAACTACGAGTACTTGTATCATATTATGCTTGAATTTGTAGATTCTGTGTATTGTTCAAAGGAGATTACTTTGAAGATTTAGAAAATAAAAATGGTAGTTGCTTTAAAGGTTTTCATTTTACTATAGCCCCGACACTAATTATTGAATACTCCTCGTATAAAGAGATCTTAAAGATTCATATCTGTAATTATACACCATAAATCACAAATGTGCATAGTTTCTTAACATACAGTAGCTTTATCATATAAATCTCGTAAAAAAGATGTATGAAATTATAAAATGAATTGAATTCTTTCGGAATGATAAGTCGCTTCCTTCATAATAATATTTAATGGCCCTTATCTCGTTTTGATCTAAAAACCATGTAAATAAAAATGACTAATACGCTAATCTACCTTTTGTTATTATTATTTAGATTTATCTTGGGTTTGTTTACACCGACTTCGATACTTATTCTTAAACTAACGTATGAAAAAAATAAAACATACATCTATGCTGAAAACTCAGGTATAGAATAAAACTTATATATATGATTATATCATCTCTATAGCTGTCTAACAAATCCTGTCCCGAAAATATACTTTTTTGAAATAAATAAAAGCGGTTTACCCCAAGGAAACCTCTGCTTTCCAAAGAAGAATTTCAATGAAAAGAAGAATAAAAACATATTTCTTATAAATAAAAGTAAGTCCTTTTATATCTTTAACAGTAAAGTAGCCAAAGAAGAGTAAAAGATCAATATGAATTGTGAAGTATGTTAATAACTTAAAAAAAAAAAACATTTGTAACTGTATTGTAATTATGTATCGTCCTATTTTAAACAGGCATCTAAACTATATAACCGTAGAAATATGCCACCAAGCGATAGTGATGATTTATATACCAGAGCCGCTGTGAGGCTAACGTGGTTAATAATTTATCTCTTATTTTGCCTTAAATCATAACATGTAAAACACTACTGTATTTGAACGCGACCATGACCCTATATATACTTGTATCATTTTACAAGTAATTGTTATCACGTGCAGGGGTTCCGAATAAGGACATTTGGAAGTATATACAATGTACATGATTAGTGAGCAGTTTTAGTTATCTTAAATAGCAAGGTGGATTTAGTATTTTGTATAAATCTGTTGCCTACTTTAGTTTAATTTGTTTGTCATGTAAATTGTAGCATTTTATGTGCAAATTCTATCTAAGTATTATGTATATAGATCTACATGAATATGATACGTTAATACACCCAATCCATTAAATTTACAAAAAATAGTACAATCTGAAACAAACAAGGTATGCGAAGAAATACTTAAAAACAATTTCTCCCCTATACTTTCACCCCTATATGGTGTAATAAAAAGGGAATGGAAACACAGGATAAAAAAAGAAAAACACAAGTTTAAGTTCTAAATTTGATGAAAAAAAATTGTCATTTACCAATACTCCCGCAATGTACCCCGCTGTTCTAAATTTGATTAAGATTCAAACCGACTTAAAATCACTGTTTATACTATCAAAACTAAATTTTACACAAAATAATTTATTATACAATATTCGTGTTAACCTTTGATAAAATCAAATTAAAACAGACGCGATAAAGTGTTAGACAGTAAGACAATCTTAATTTATAGTCGGTTATGGTTAATAACGCTTTAAGCTTGTATAAGATAAAAATGATAAGAAGAAACAAAAATAAACAATCCCTTTTAAAGATAGTAATACATACAACTAATTCATGAAATAAGAGCATTTATAATGTATAATTATA